CAGAGAACTGGAGAACTTCTCACTCTTGTTTTGCCTCATAAATATCATAGAGTGATGTGTTTGCCCTGTGAATCCACTATCAAAGCTATTACCTATAACCAAAAGGCATTTCAGTCCTAAAGCGAAAGGAGGCAGATTCAAGGAAACATTCTAAATATATTTCTGTGGTAGTTTCTAGTAGATACACAGCTAAAAATAAAGAATGCTTTTCAGTTGTTTTTTTTAATGGGACAAACTTACCAAACTGTTTAAATACCTGTTGTGTTATCTCTGAAGTGGAGTGTGTGTGTGTAAATAAGAATATCAAAGGAAGAATGGAAATTCCTCAACAGTTGCTGATTTAATCTAAAGTAGTTTTTATTATGAAAAATGATAATTTCAGTGCTTCCCTGGCATTTTATTTCAAGAATATAGTTTAATAAAATCTTAAGTCAGATCATGTACCACAAGGTTTATATTTAAAAATGAATCAAAACGTGTTATTCATATGAATGATTCACATCTGAGGACCTCCTCTGTATTTCAAGTCTACAATGAATATTTTGGGAAAGATCCCAAAACTAAACTTAAATTATTCTCAGATTTTTCTTGAAGGAAGCATGTTGTTTTTAGTTCCCAAATAGTATTTTCCACAGGTTATTTCCCTGCTGGATACATCCCAGAAACAATTTGTTTATAGAAAGTTTCACATTAGAACCAGCAATAAGTCTTAATTAAGGTATTACAAATTAAGCTTTATTCTCATTTTTTTGGCTTTTCTCAAATCGGTTGTATAAGAGACTAAAAGAGGGAAAAGGGCATTGATTTGTTGACTAAACAGATTTGAGATGTTGGCATCAGAGCAAAGTAGAGTTGGAGAGGGCAAGTGAAGAGTTATTAAAATATTTTAGTAACATAGTGTTCTTTTCAAACAGGAAAAAGCATTAATTACCATTGTTGCAAAAGGGAATTGGCTAAAGGAGATAAATGATCAGCAAATATAAACTCCTTTGAGAGCTTTGTTGAACTTGACTAACAAGATGGTTTTGTTTTTGGAGTAATCTAACAGAAAGTATATGTGGACCAAGGTTGGCATCATTGCTATGCTTTTGGGATATAACCCAAAACATGTTGTTATAGTGGAAAATTATTGGGAATTACACTCCAGTTATAATTAGCTGCCCTCCCTGGGGATTACCACCTTGATCTTACAAAGAAGAATAGAACTATACATAAAGAGAGAAAAATGCCAAATGCACAGTCAGGTTTCAGAAAAGATTTAAGATCAGATAAGTAACATGAGAAGGATTAATGGAGACAGCAAGAGAATACAAGAAGGAGGTTCATGTTTGTTGCACTGATTACAAGGTCTTTGACTGAGTGGAGTATGCCAGAATGTGGAATATATTAAGACTAATGCGAGTACCAGGACACCTGATTAATTTTTGAAGAATCTTTATAATTAACAAGAAACTACTGTTAAAAATTGAATTGAAAGAAACAGAATATTTCAGATTGTAAATGGGAGTAAGACATAGATGCATATTGTCTCTATAGTATTTAAATGATAGCGGATATATTAGAAGAATGCAAGGTTGGAAGAGATCAAAGTTGGAATCAAAATTGGTGATTCAAATGCTAACGATTTGACATCTGTGGATGACACCACTTTGTTAACCAAAAATAAGAAGACTTTGAAAATAAAAAAATGAGGAGTAAAAAATCTGAGTTAATCTTAAATATTAAGTTAAATATTAAATATTAAGTTGAAGGTAATGTCGAGTTGTATGCTTAGTGAATTTTTAATTCATAGAGAAGTAATAAGTGATATGGGTAGTTCTGTTTTGTTCAGCTCAAGGAAGGACAGCGTCCTGCAGAAGTAAAGATTAATCCTAGGTTAGAAGGCAGTGACAAACATAAATGAGATCATGAAGGATAAGTGCATTTAATGGCAACAAAGAACAGAATGGGTAAGACAGTGGTCTTTCCAGTGGTGGTATATGGCTATGAAAAGTTGACAACTGAGAAAGAATGAAAGAAGATAGATGCTTTTAAATTACGTATTTGGAACAGTTTCTAAGAGTACCATGGGCTGCAAGAAAAATCAGTCAAGTAAAGGCAAATGGCAAGCAGAAACTTGCACCCTTTGGGCATATAATGCAAGCAGATGATAGTCTAGAAAAAATTACTATGCTTGGCAAGGTTGAAGAAAACAGAATAAAAGGAAGTCAATGAATAAGGTGGGTGGATGGGATTAAAGAGATAAGTTGAAGTTTTTCCAAGGAAATTACTGAGGTGCACATTTGTCCATGCAGTCAAGCACAATTCAGTGGCACCTAACTGTCTAACTATACATAGCTGACTGATTCTATGTGTAAGTTTAGCTTACTTCCTAGCAATAACAGAGCAATAATTGCAAAAGTAAACAGTTACTATATACGACAATTATTTTGGCCTTGGCAACCAAAAAGTTAGAAATGAACTTCTCACATAAGAACATACTAACTTTAATGTAAGATTTAATAACAGGGAATTGTTTTGTAAAAATAACCAAATTCATGTTCTTTGATTCCCTTTTACATTGGACTACTATGTTATGCAAACAAGAGAAACTGTTGCTAGTCACTCCCAGCCCAGATATAATTATTTTGCCTGAGCCTTAACTGCAAAAATACAGGCCCGCAACCTGTTGTTGTGTTGTTGTGCCAAAGGCATTCTGAAATAAAATGTTAAGAACTCTTTAAAAGATTTGTATATTACATTTCTGCCTTAAGCAAAGGATCAGTAAACACTGTATGATTTTGTTTGTTTCTGCTAGAGACCTATAATTAGATAGCACTTTTTAGAAAATTACTGTCTGTAACAGCTTACGGTATAGACACGTTCTTACAAATTAGTTATTTTCCCCTCATTAAGCATTCATTTGATAAGGAACTTCTAGAATGGTTAAGAGTTAAATAAATTTGTATCTGTATGTTTTAAATCTGACTGAATTCTTTTTGAATTCTTTTGGTCACAATTTATTTTGAGCCTACCCAGAGTCGGTTCAGAGCACCTAAATCAAATCAAATCAACAATCAGTGGCGCGAGAGATCTGGGTTTGGAAGTTTCAGTATACAGAAAAATTTAACTAGACTTTCAAATATTGTTAATATCAGTGTTTTATTCTAAAGAAATTAAAGGAGCAAGGCAGCAAATGAAACAAAGTTCTGTGAAACATGGACATTTTTTAGCAGGATTTGTCATTATTCAGTATTGCTGTCATTTGCCTTAATATATCTGTGTTAGACAAGGGCTGCTTAAAAATATTTCTAAATCTGAATTTCTCTCTAGATGTGCAAGTTTCAAATTATTCATATTTTGGCTGTCTTCAATACTTTAGGATGTTAGTCCTTGTGCTTTCTGAATTTTGTACCTTTATTATGTACAGGTTCCCTCATCTTTTAATTTTGTCTTATTTGTTGTACAAGTTTATAGAGCGTACATAATTTCGGTAAAATATAGTCAGATGCTCATATGTATCATATCAATGATCACTTCTGAATACCAAAATAAAAGAATAAATGGAAAGAAACAGTTTCTGCTAATAGTACATGCATTCATTCCAGAATTATTTTTATTATTTATTTTAAATATTTTTATAACAGTTTTTAATTTAAAAAATCTCAGTGCATTTTAAAATAAATACAGTAGTCTTGTGTTCTCTTGGACAAAGAAGTCAACATAGCTAGAGAAGTTTGCACAAGTATTTCAAGGGTTATAGTGATATGCAAATGTATTTATATTCCAAAATACCAAAATTGACACATACTGTCTGGCACTATTTAGTTCATAGCACATAAATTTGCAGTGCTTTTATCTCTGAAAGTTTCTAGATATTTTTAGGTAAATCATTCTCCTTTGTCAATTAGAATTTCAAATTGCTAGTGAAGTGCAAACATTCATGGAAAAGGTGAAGGTGAAAAAGCTGGAGCAGAATTCTGTACAGGAATAATAGTGTCATTATTGAAGTTAGTTTTGAAGTGGCTCCAAATAAATTATCTGTTAAGAAACAAATGTTTTGGTTTTTTTAATTGAATCTGGCACATGACTTGAGCTGCAGATTATAGATGGTTAGAACTCTTGTACTGTTTTACGCAGAAATAAAGCTGACAGCTGTTAATGTTTGCATGAAGTTACATCAGGTGTTCTGATTTGAGAAAAGACATTTTGGCTGTACTGCTATATGTCCCCTTCAAATTCTGCTGATGGGGTCATTTATTATTATTACAAATGCTTACATACTTAACAGGTATCAGTTTCAAAATTGCCTGCTTCAGTTGGGATTTTCAAAATTAAAACTTCCTATCCTTTGTCTCTAGGAAAATTTCTTTACAGTATTTCACTTCAGGCAGTGAACCAGAAATTATTCTGACACAACTAAGAAACTATTTTTGAATTCAGGCAGACCAGTTCATACTAACAATGGATAATTAGTTAAACATGTAGTTCCTGTCCTTCTGTTGTCTTCCACTAAGGATATCTAGCAAATGATACCAATTTTTTAAAATTAAGAAATACTTTGAAAAATACTTGAGTCAAATTTTCTACATTGTCATATCCACATGAGCACTGACATTATGAAGCAGGAATTCTTGTCAAACCAAACATCAACAGATCAGATAGTAAGGAATTACATTTACGAAATGAAAAAGACTTTTGGTTGCACTCGGGTATGAATTGTGTCTGCATGAGTCGCTATACTAGGATTATATTTTAATTGGAAGGAACAACATTTAAAGTAATGACTCCATGGAAAGATTTAATGGGCAGCTGTCTCTAGCTGTGGGTTACCTGGAGGATTCAATCGGTTAATTTATTTCTTGTGGCATTTGGTTATTTAGTGCCTACATGGCAAAAGCGTACGCTAAGCCATATACAAATTCTGGTAGTAATTAATCTCTCCTTAGTAGCTGTTAGCACATCCCTAACATTATTTTCTGTTCACTCCCCTTCTTTCTTTACACTTTCTGTCCTTACAGGTTATGTGTTCTGTATGTTGCATCGCCTGCCTGAACAGCATGATTGCACGTTTGACCACATGGGACGCGGGCGTGAAGAAGCCATTATGAAAATGGTGAAACTGGACCGGAAAGTTGGGCGATCGTGCCAGCGCATTGGCGAGGGCTGCTCCTGAGTGGCAAGACTCTTCAACCAAATGCTGTTCTCTTAGTTCACTAATGTTAGCCTTATTTAGGACAAAGTCAGCCAGACACCTTGTACTGGGCAAGTTTCAGACTACAGCCAATCAGTTTCCTTTCTTTAGCCAACCATCCTGGTACTGTAGTTTAGGAGTTAAATGGTGATCAACACTGATTACTGGCTGGTTGTTAAGGTGCCTGCTAGCCACTGTATTAAAAAAAAATGAAGACATATGTTTGAGCATGGCTAGTGGATTTTAACAAAAATATAAAGGCTTCTATTATTGCAGGAGTCAAGTTCTTACAAACAAGCAAAAAGCCTTACGTTGGGAAGTGTCCAGCAGCTGAGTAGAAACTGATGTAAAAGACTGCTTATGTGCATACCACGCTGGAAGAAATGACCCTTATTAGCCTGGCTTTCCTGTCCTTACTTTTAGCTAACCTTGAAGAGGTGAAACTCTGCTTAAAACAAGCAGTGTAGTTGCTAAACCTAGAAGACCTAAACCATTACTTTTGACATTTCCATACATGTCTTCTGAGGTCATGCAGCACCACCAACTTCAGGAAATCTCTTAGGGTAGAAACAGCTTTCTGGGAAGCCGAAAAGAAGGGGACAGATTCTTAAGACAACTTTTATATCAGATTAAAATATCAGATTACAGGGAAAATATTTCTTCACTAAGGTGGAGGAGAAAATATTTTACTTTAAAGTTAATGCTATTCTGGAACAAGCAGTAACAGCGTGCATTTTCTACACAGCATCAACAACATTTCTTAAGTGGTGTGATCCAATTCCATATGCCAACCATAGTTGCTGTTTCCCATCAGCCAAAATCTGATTGGCTCTTGTTTGCCTTTTGCTAAGTGCAGGTATCTGATAATTGAACAAATAAGGCTAATTCACAGCACAGTAGCCATGCCTGGATTCTACAGACTGACTTTCTGTAGCTAGACATATATTGAGGGGTAAAGGACATTTTGTAGCAAATGGAATTCAGTAACAGTATTGGGGGAACAACCAGGAAAATCACCCTTTATTGAACTGAGTTTGTACGCCTCACTTCCAGTGTATTAAGGAGATAATCAAATGGGCTGTCCCAGCCTTGTGACTATGCAGCTTGGTACTCTCAGTGAAGGTCTCTGCTCATCAGTTGCAAAGCAAGTGACTATAAAATGCCTTGCATAGAATGGGGACTCTCCAGATCTGGTCTTTTAGAGCTTCTGTTCTGTACTGGGGTATGTCAATTTCATTGAACTGAACTGCACATTTTTTGTTGTTGTTGTTTGTTTGTTTTTAATGTGCAGTGGTTTTCTCTAGCTACAGGCAAATGTGTCTGTAAGAAAAAAAAACTCATATTTATAATGGCCTAACGTGGAATGTTTACCCCACATACTGGTTAGTGCTCAGCTAGCAATTTCGAATTAGGTCTAGTAGGGAGTAGGGAAGGGCTGCTGGAAGAAGGGGAACTGTATTGTCTCTCATGTACACAAATAGAATACATTTAAGCCACCAAAAAGAGTGAATTCCCTCATATCACTCTAAAAAAAGGTTGTAGGGGTAGAGCAGCTTAAATAAGTCACTGACTGCTCTGTATGTTCTGAAGGTCAATTACTAGTTTACAGGTTGATTTGTATTTAATCTGGTAGCCAGTATGGCCAGTGAAGGAGACTCAGCCTTTGCCTATATTACAGCAATGCAAATTGGTAATGAAGTCAATCCACCATTCTAAAGTTCAATATGGAAAAGCCATTCTGTGTTGTACTCAAGGCTTTGAAATCAGCAATGGAATTTCCAGCTGCATATTCTGTTTCCTAAGGAAGTATTCTCCTTCCATCGGTATGTGGAAGAAATCAGACAATTTTCTTTGCGTTTGCCATGAAGAGTTTTAAACAAACATGGACTTCCGCTGCTGCCACGCTATGCACTTTCTTCCCTTCTAAAATCTTAGCATAGCATTTGATGGACATTCTGATTGATATACAAGACTTGCAGATTAATAACAAAGATGCTGTTTTTCTCTTGTTAATCTTTCTTTAGCCCTGATACACGTGCACAGTTGATTTCAAGGTATCTCTTGAGCAAACACTACTCAAGTTCATGTGGATTATGGACAATGTTCACTTTAAAAAGTGTGGGGGTTGTTCCTTTGCAGTATCTGTTCTGTGAGGTTTGTTAAACGTAAAGAAAGCTTAAGTTCTTGTAATCTTGAAGAAATCTTATTTAACCCTTTTTTGTGTTCTAGATTTACTTACACATGTAGCTTAGAGCTCAGTTTTAGTTTAACATTGTGAAATATTAAAAATGATTGTAATTCTTTTTCCTCCTGCTTAAAAGAAACAAAACCATTAAACAGATCAGATTAAAATTTGAATTCTTCTCTGAGTTTTGCAGTAGGTATTGTTCATCAACTCAGTTGCTGCTATATGGCTTGGGGTTCTTTTTAACAATTGTTTGTGGAAAGTTAGAAGGACGACAAATACATTGTTACTGTTCTATGGACTTCAAATCAAGGCATACCCTAAATACTAAATTTAGGTTGCCATTTCTGGCTGAAAAATCTGGGGTACAAAAGAGCTAAAACTATGTTTTTTCCCATAAGAACAATATCTGAGCAGTTGTTCATATTTAAGTTTGGCATTTTATACTTGTGTAAAAAAGAATCTGAAGAGTGTCAAAAGATTTCTAAAAATTTGTATACCCAGGAGCAAAGCTTAGGCTATGAACTAGCATCATTGTTCTTGCATAAATATCGGTGTGTCTTCTATAGCAGATGTTCCTTAATTCACTTTAACATCCTTATCTGATCTTTCACTCTATTCATGAATTAGTTCAGTTTTCATGGTTATTCAGTGTATATCTGCAAGAATTGCATAATAAAACTCTGTAAAAAAAAATCCAAGGATTTAAAAACTATAGCAAATAAACACAAGTAAAGCTTTTACATTGGGAATTAAAATCCAGCAGATGCTAAACTTAATTTCTTTGATTTCTTGTTGAATTTTGAGCTACCTGGTACAAAAAGAAATTTAAACAGGGGCAGAGTATATGTTTATGTACACTTTGGTGTACTTCTTACATGTATGTATGTATGTATATATATATATATATATATACACACATACATACATACTCTGAGAGGGAGTAAAAAATTACTTATTGAGCTTTTTAATACTTGTGGTCTATCAACAAAAACCAGATTTTCAGATAATGCTCCATTAATTCCCCTCATAACTCACTAACATATATTTAGCCTTGATAATATTTTAATTCATATCGTTCTAGGTTTATAGACCTCATTTAAATATTGATTGATTGATCAAATGTATACGCCACCCATCTCACTGTATAATGCTGAACTGCTCTGCCAGGACATTGCATGCTCCTTGAAGACTTCTTTTCTCCAGAATTAGATGAAATTTCATATTATGAGCATATACCAATTGTCAGCAAGGTTTATCAGGAAACTGGAGGGTCATTCAGCCATGTGTTGAGTTCTATCAAAATGAAATGAACTCTCACCATATTCTTTTTGTGGTCTTAGGTACATTTCAAGACTGTTTTGACAGCTGTTGCAATTCAAATCCCAGTAAAGAAGCAGCAGAATAGAAACACTTTAAAAAACAGGTTAAACATCAAGGGAAAAACATGTTTCAAGTGACATAGAAATAGTGGAGATACAAAGCAAAAAGGAAGCTAGTACTAGAAATCAGCATTATATTAAGAATTTATTTAAGTTGTTTTATTAGCTGGTATTATATGACATTTAGGGCCTTTTGGAAATTTCTATTCAGTTTTTCTCAACCTTGTGCTCTGCAGATTGTGCTGCGTTGAAGATTTGAAGGACCACAAAAAGTGTGTGTAGAAGTAGGGAGATTATAGTTTTCTGGGATGTGGTTTTTTTACCCAAGGCCCTGCTTGGTTTTGGTTTTTAAGACAAATTGGGGGAGGGAGGGATTATGAAATATTTCCTAATATTTTCATTTTACATTATACATGAAAATGATTAAGACATGAAAGTAATTGATCAGTATTTGGAAACATTCCAAATCAAGAAATAAACATGAAAGAGTTGGGAAGCTTGTCTCAATGCAGACAATTCACAATTTCATTAAAATAATACAATGAAGAAAAAAATAAAGGATCAAAAGGAATAGAAACTGCTTCTGGTGATAGTGTTTCCAATTCAGAATTACTGAGACTATTAGGCAATGTTCCATGTGTAGCAAAGAATTTATCTCCTTTATTTTCCCTCTCTTTTCTGTATCTTAGGTGCCATACAGAACACAATCTGGAATTTATCACTTTCTTTTACTATTTTTTAGTGCCTTCTCTTTTCAGTTTTATTTTTTTCCATGCCTACTCTGTTTTAAATTGTCAGAAATGCAGTGATGGTACATTCCTCAGGGTTCAGAAACATGTAGTTCTGTTTGCAATAAAGTAAATTAAGTCAATACATTTATTATTATTTATGTATCAAACATATTTTACATAAGCAAACCAAGTTATCATAAACAGACTTTATAAAGCAGTGCAATGACTTATCTTTAAAAGGAGTTTAAAATTAAATGTAGTCTATCAAGTTTTCCCAATATTTCTGTCCCCTCTCCACAAAAAGCAGAAGCGTAATTATTTTTTTCCTTCCCCCATCCTTTAATAATTATATAATTAAAATATGTAAATTGGGCAAGTCATTTCATTTGTAAAATAATTGCATGCTTTTAGGAAAAAAGCTCATGAAGGCAGAAAGACACTAGCAAAACCAATAGAAGGGCACTGATAGTTGTATCTGGGCAATTTTCACCAAAGTAGATCTCCCCAGGATTATTAGATTTAGAGAAGTAAAATATCAAGATATTATGACACAAGATCAGAAAACAGGAGTCTGCTTAAAGAATTAGACCCCTTGATTGCTGTTGCTTATGTTGGAAACATTATTGTATTTTGTGATTTGGCTACTGTGACTTTGAAATGCATTTTGCAAGCCATTCCTCTTTCTGTGTAAGTGAAATTTAGAGTGTAGAGGGCAAATTATTTTTCAACATATATTGACTTTCAAAAGTACCAGTTGTGAGCAAAGTAGCTCAACTGCAAGATTCTAATGCAGCATAGACCTGATGGTCTTTATTGCTGTTTCAACAAATAATGGGCATAATGTTCATGGACAAATCAATTATTATAATTTATAAAATGATGGCATATGCCATACCGCTTGTCTGAATCTCCTATTAAGGTACCGGGGATTTAGTATACTTCATCAATATATCTAGGTTGACGACTTAATGACTCTAAACTATGGCCTGCCATATTTCAAATCTCTTTCGGTGATCCACCATTATACTTTCCACATTCTGACAGAGCATTCTAACTAATGAACCAAAGATAATGAGCAATCAAACTGTGTTTTTATAACCTTTGCCCTGATTTCAGTTTACCTGTAATGAAGCTTAAATTTAATCAGGCATATGTCCATGTAAGCATTCCATTCCCTGAATACGTAGTTTCATTTGGATGTACTGTATGTGTGGAATCTACTGGTCTAAATGTGCACTGATAAAATGCCAAACAGATCATCGCCTAAGTCACAAGTGTCTGGCATCCTGGATTCGAACATAAAGATGTCTTTAAACAAGATATAAACTATATGAAATGTCTACATTGTTAAATGCTGTTTTGATAACACACACTCTTTTTTCCTTTCAAATTGGGCCTTAAGTGGTTATTACCTCAGGATATGGACACATTGAAATCAAAATAATTAATGCAAGTGGTATTAATACTCTGCAAAGTTCTTTACTACATTCTGATAGTCAAGCAAAAGACATCACTCAAACATAGAAGCATAACTAACCTGGCTTGAACTTTGAAAAGTAATGATTTAATGATTGTTGACAAGAAGACCTCTTGAACTAAAGACACCAGAGTGGCTGAAATATGAATCAAACAAGAATTGGCTAATACCAACATGTTATCTAAACATAAGCTGAACCAAAAGCAGCTGTTTTGTTTTGTATTTAATGGGTTTAATTTTTGCTGAATAGTGTTACTTTTCATGCTACTTTTGTCTTGTTGAATGTATTGCACAGTAGGCACAATTTTGATGTCTTGATACCTAATTCAAAACTAAATTTGGGCAGTAAATTTGGCAATTCTTTTTTTTTTTTACCAGTTAGTGAAATTCAGAATTTGAATGATACAATGAAATAATGATTTTATTCTTTAAACTACTTGGAACTGAATAATATATTGGCATACTTACAGCGGACCTTTATCTGTATGTCAGCTTTGCCCAACCTTCAATGGCCCTTTAAGATATGGCAACTCCCAGAATTCTTAACATTCAGATGGGAAGTACTACCTTATAAAGAAAATGTATTACATGTTGAATTGGGAGAGAAAGTGTTGGAATATCTATAGGCAGAACCAGGGCCTATCAGGAATACTTTGAAAGGCACGAGGTAGCCAAATGCTTGCTAAAAAATTCTTGCTGCACTCTTCCCCTTTTTTAAATTTAACAATCCTTAGTGTTGGGGCTTTTTAGAGCATTTTACTACAAATAATTTGCTATACAAATTCCTGTTTGCTTAATCGGATTCTCTGTATCCATAAGTTCAGTGAGATTTACTCCTTAGCGGGTGTATAGGATTACAGCAGTGTTTCTCAACCTTGGTCACTTTAAGCTGTGTGGACTTCAACTCCCAGAATTCCCCAG